CCATCCAACCATCCATCTTTGCCTCGGCAGGTGCGCGGTGGCGCTGCAACCCTGTGCCCAATATGTCAACGACATTCCCCCAGGACTTTTTTTACGACCGCGTCAAGGGTGAGGCATGGAGTGGCGATTGTGTGCATGTGTTTGCTCGTTCGTTTGTTTGTGTGCGATCAACCCGCATGCTTTGTTTTGTGTTGCTGCGTGCGCTGGGTGTATGCAGCAAGGGCCAAACAACCCACCCTTTACCATCACACACATACACACACACGCGCGCGCGCACACACCACGCACACGCTTTTCTTCACATTGTCTCACGTGCATGCGCTGCTGTGCGCCAATGCGAGCAGGAGAGCTCGTCGACCGAGCGGGACGGCCCGATCTCAACACGGCCTCTGTCGAGTACATTGCGCCGTCAGACTACATGGTGCGCTCTCAGTGGTGGCGCACATGCGGCTGATTGTCGTAGAGGCTGGTGTGACCGAGCTGCGTGTTGCTGGCATGTGTGTATGTGTGTGTGTGTGTGTTTGTGTGTGTGTGTGTGTGTGTGTGTGTGTGTGTGTGTGTGTGTGTGTGTGTGTGTGTGTGTGTGTGTGTGCGTGCGTCCTCATGTGGGTGATCGCCACCGACCTTTACACAAACTCAACGCATCTCCCGCCTTTGTCCCCATTGTTGACTCCCACTTCCACCCGTCCATTCATCCATATGTCCATGCACACACGCCCTTACCCTTCCCCAACACTGCTTCTTCTCAAACCACCACCACCGCCACCACCACCACTACCACCAGGTGCGGCCGCCCCAGCCGTGCGTGTTTGCGTTCTGCATCGACGTGTCGTCGCCTGCGGTGGTGTCTGGGATGGTGGCGGCGGTGTGCAAGGCGCTGCTGGAGAACCTGGACCGCCTGACTGGCGATGAGCGCACGCGTGTCGCCATCATCACCTTTGACAACACCGTCCACTTTTACAACCTCAACGTCAGTTGCCCCATTGCTGCTGCCTCGAATGAGCTGCACTTTGCTTGTGTGCTGTGTGTGTGTGGTGTGCTGTGTGTGTGTGTGTGTTGTGAACACCTTCTCTCCAACCATCGTCTTCGCTTGAGGCGCACTATTCACAATACCACCATCATCACCATCACCATCATTATCACCCATCACCACTTCATCGCCACCGTGTTGCCTGCTGCAGGAGAAGTTGGCGCAGCCGCAGAAGCTCGTGATGACGGACATTGACGACCCATTCCTGCCGTATTCCATGGAAGACCTCCTTGTCTCCCTCAACGACTCAAAGGAGGTGCGCGGTGGTCATCGTGGTGCTGTAACCTGCGGTGGCGTGGCGTGGTTGTTGTGGCTGTTGTGGGTTGTTGTTGCAACTGCAGTTTGCTTTCTTTTACAACATTGGCGCAACCCACATCACTTCACACGACACCGCAAGCGCATGTGTCTCTCACCAATCACCAATTATCAATCACCAATCACCAATCACCAACCCCTCCCCGAAACCCCTTTGCAGCTTGTCAAGTCGCTGCTTGAGTCCATCCCGGACATGCACGCGCGTCCGCTGTCGAGCGACACGTGCACGGGCGCCGTCCTCAAGGCCGCCCGTCTCCTCATGGGCGGAATCGGCGGCCGCATCTCCGTCTTCCAGGTGCACACACGTGTTTGTTTGTTTGTTTGTTTTGTTTTGTTTGTTTGTTTTTTTTTGTTCGGTTTGTTTGTTTCTTTTGTTTGTTTGTTTGTTTGTTTGTTTGTTTTTTTGTTCGTTTGGTTGCTTGTTTTGTTTGTTTGGTTGGTTATGTTTTTTTGTTTGTTTGTTTGTTTGTTTGACTGCACGGGTTGCACGACACCTGCAGTGGCGCAGTCAAGCATCTCTCTTTGCCTCACCTTCATGCCCACATCACCATGTCTACACTCCCTTGCACCAGACTGGCCGTCCCTCCATTGGGCCTGGCGCCATTCCCGACACGCAGCCGCCAAACCCAATGTACGACCCTCTCCCCCCCCCCCCAAAATACAAAACACGCCGCTGCATGCGTGCAAGCAAGCGAGCGGGTGTGCGATGTGGTGTCTCCCTTCACGTCGCAGTTTGCTGCACTCACCCTGCCATCACCACTTGTGCATGCCCTGTGTGTGTGTGTGTGTGTGTGTGTGTGTGTGTGTGTGTGTGTGTGTGTGTGTGTGTGTGTGTGTGTGTGTGTGTGTGTGTGTGCGTGATGTGTGTGTGTGTGTGTT